AACCAAGCGAAACACCTTTTTCCGAAACAAGTAACTTCAAGCTTTGTAAACCTAACACCTTAAACTCTATATTGATTGCTCCCAAACTATCCACAGTTTGATAGCTCCTTTAACCTGCCACATACAGCTGTGCATGTATGCCTTTGTAGCCCAAAGAGCTCCGTCGTCAAATATTTCAACTCCTTCAGCTATTCACAAGACCGTGGTGAGTGGAAAAGAATGATAGAATTCAGAAGTATTTAACAGACCATAACTCAATAGGTATTGACAGTTTCTCCTTGAGTAACTAATCTTCCGCGTTATCTCCTATCCTCTAGTCTCCTGCAGAGACTAGCAGTAACTCTTCACCGGGCCACCTACAAGCATTCCCTCCTTTCGCTCCATACTCCCCATCTGGTATGTACCTCCTTGAATGCCTCCTTATGCGCTACCTTTGCATTTCTGGAGGCGCTGCCCTGTTACAGCTTAACTTCTTAGACGGAATAGTACTAGAGACCAGTCCCAATCCGGGTAAAGCCTATCACGTTGAGAAACTGGATAAAATGAGGGCCCATGAGTCCTGAACACCGCATATCTCAATTGCCAACAGTTTTCACAGAAACGAAGATTCACTACGTCGTACTTCAAGACTGGGCGTGAATTTGATTAGAATTGATTTCATAAAGAGTCAACGATTGAAATCTAATTTTGTCAATAATTTTCTCACGAATCAAATTAGTAGGAATTGTGAAGCTTGATAGATCCGGGCTTAGGAAGTATACTTTACTGTGTTTGTACGGATCGCTTCATTCCGCAATTCAGCCTCCCCTTCTTACTTCATTGTTAGACTGTACTTTCTAATTTGCTTGAAATTGAAAGAATGTCACCTTCACGCGCATATGGTACTAGTGTCATCCTGACAATAACTCAACTTCCATAAACAAAACAAACACGTTCATTTCAATTTATTGGATACGAGATCTCGTGATGATCCAAGCTTCGATTCCATCCATCACCGGCTCGTTCGGAGACGGCTACCTGATTTTTCCTTGTCCACATCATGAAATTATAATCCCACAATACATGACTCTCGAGTAATTAGGAGGGAGAGGTTGCGATGATTATGCAAGAGGTAGAGCCCATCCTCTAATTTCTGCGACGCTCAGTCACGTCCACCTTCTTTTCACTCATTCCGGCTACTCCGATAAGTGGTTAGGAACTCCAGATCCCTTCAATTGCTTTCCTTCATTGATGCGTTGTCTTACAAATCAAGTACTATTGGAAAGCTCACGACCTGTCGGGGCTCACCTATTATCAGGAGGCCAGCAGATCAAGCACCAATAGTTTAAAGATAATAACTGCATTTGCAAAAATGGTCTGCCTTCTCGCAATCCTTTTATACACAGGCCAAAATCTGCGGCAAAAGGATCGTTTTGTTATCACGACCTCTGAGGACAAGTATCCTTCTTACCGTAGCTACGAAGTTAATTTTAGACAACCATTTCCAGTGCCTAGCAAAGACTCTGGTATTTACAGGACTTCGGTCAATATCGATAGACCCGGTACTTATATAACGGTTTATTGCTCGAACAAAGTGTCAATTGATGATTTATGGGGGTTTGTCGGCAATGGCTTGACCAGCCTGCAGGGCCGACTCGATGGAGGATTTAGCAACGACGATAAGTTGGAAAATGAATGCTTCAATTACGTGAAGGAACTCTATTTTGCATCAACGGGAGAAGTTGCGAAAGGTGGAGTCCAAGTAACTGGGGAAGCAGAACCGCGCCCATTGCATGTTTCGCATCTCATCCAGTCGCACAAATGTACGGAAAAACTTTTAATCAGTCTAACCTACCAACAGAAAATTTTAAGCGCCAATTGGAACGGATTCTCAAAGACGTACCTTAATAAACGTCTTCCAAAAATATTATTTAATAAGCCGGTGAAAATATCGAATGTAGTTCTGAACGGACAGTTTTTGATAAAACAAATCGAAATAGACTTTGAAGAGGCATTGGCGTGGAGCCAAGGTCAATTGCAATACTTTGAGCGGGATAATCCCTCACGCTACTGGCAAGAGAGGACTCTGGTTGGTTATGAGCCGTACACAGGAAGAATCATAACAAGATTCATCCTATCTAACAATGCGCAAGTAAGAAATTTTATTAATAAATTTAATACATGTAAATTTGACGAAAGGTGTACGTCGGAATGTCTCGAGCTACGACAGATAGCCTCTCTTGGAATAAAAGCTTGCCGCGAGTTTAGATACAGACATATAGAAGAAGTGGAAAGACTTGTTCCTGTACCGGCTGACGGAATTTTGTACGGTGTCAAGATTTGTGAACCGACAGAATGGCCAGAAGAAGGTTTTTTGGCTCCCAAGCTTTTAGAATATAAAGAGAAACTTGAGATACTGGAACAGTAATGTTACTAAGGCCCGTAATTTTTTGGGCGTGGGCGAAATGGAGAGCACCTCCAACGAGTTTTATCAAGCTGTAGATACACTTAACTCTGTCGTGTCTGAAATATGGCTGAATGAAGTAGCTGGAATATTCCTACAGCGACAAAGAAGTAGATTAGATGAGTGTCATGTTCAGATTACTGCTGAGATAATGCGAGTTGTTATGAGTTCAAGCATAAGCGTAGCAGAGGCTGTCAGTGGTGTCCATTACGAACCTCCGGCTCTCACTGTAGAGTCTGCAGAGCCGAGATTGAGTAACAAAGTCCTCACTTCGACGAGGATTTCCAATCGCTTCCGCGGTCTGTATCGTCTTCATCTCTCAACACATCCCCCGATCACCACTATCATGAAGCTAACCACGATCAGATCAGTTGGTAGGGTCGGAGCTCTACTCATCACCAACCCTTAAGAATGGAGGAAAAGCTATACGATGAGTTTCCGAGGCGTACCCAGCACCCGATACGGAGATGGTGGATTGGATCAAGTCGCCCTCGACTGTTACAAATACCACGGACTAAGGGCCTATTCTGAGTCAATAGGAAGGATGTACGAAGATATTTGTCCTGTTTAATTCTATTCTATCCTACTCTACTCCATTCCATTCTATTTCGTTCTGTTCTGATCTGTACTATTCTATTATACTCCATTCTATTCTATATCAGAGTATACAGGAAAGATCGAGAACAGTAGGGAGGAATATATAATGGGTAATTGGGTGAACTTGGGTGCGGCAGATTATGGTCTTGTACTCTTAGGAACTCTTTAGACACTAGTGAATCTTACGTTGAACTCTTGAGCTGTCGAACTATCGGACCTTCGGATTGCGAACTCCTCTTGTACTCTTGACACCAAAGAAGGGAGATATAGATGAATATGCGCACCTCATGTGGTCCCGGTGTCTAGGCCTCGCCTGGCTGGGGCTGCAGGTTTTTTGAGACTTTTTCTCGCGCACGCAGTTTCCATTGCTAACTTTTTTCCTTTTTGGGTAAAGGTTCCGTGGAAAAGGTGGCCGAATTCCACGAGTAACTACTAAGCTCTATCACGGTTTCATTACAAAATGCGTGGGCGATCTTGTAGGTACAATATTTTAATTATAATTCTCTGAAGAGAGAACTCCTGTACTTAATGACTACTTATACAGTCTGAAATATCCCTCTTTGATAAGGTTCTCTCTATGACTTGACAGCTCAGACTCTCCGATGATCACCTAGAAGATCCTTGATACTCATGTAACCCTCACGAGCTCTCAGTATGTATCAACAAAGTTCAATGTGAATCATCTAAGTTCCCTGTCATGCAAGATCTTCTCAGGAACCTCCCTTCGTATCATTGCTTGCGCTAGACAGCGTAGGTGTTATGATATGGAAACACACTAGTCTTACAGTGGACAGTCAAGGGTACGCACGATAATGTTGGGCTCAACATTGTGAGGAAAGAGCACTGAGAGATTGGATCGACCACCGTAGCCCAGAATACATTATTCTTCCCTAGTTCGTAGTTAGTAGGATACATAGTTCACACACACACATCTGTCATTAGGACTATTACACACACCTACATTCATATATCCACTTACTCTTATATTATCTTTCTCCATTTATTACGTATCACAATTATACCCCATAACGTATAACCATAATAGTAGGCTACAGGAGCCCTTAGGCTTGACAGCCGTCACAAGCTCAATGGCTATCCATCACGCGCAATATATCAATGATCTTTCAAGTAGCAAAAGAGGCAATGATCACCGTACAAGGTGTGGCCTGGGTCAGAGAGGAGCCCAATGTGCTGGATACTCTAAGACTCAAGTAGCACAATAAAACATCACATTTACATCTCTCGCTGGTAATGCGATGTTAGGTTTTTTTCATATGGCGGATGGCATGCTATCTTCATCTTGAGAAAAATAATTGGAGTTGGTTCTATACTGTATCTTTTCTCATCAACATACAGTGCATACTTATCATAACAACAAGATTTCGTGTCGCTATTTCGTATCCTTATAACGTTTTAGTAGAGAATACAATCACGTGATACTAAGTACAAACTTTTATAATCTGCCAAGAGACCCTATACCCGAGCAGATTTATGCGCGCCAATATTTCATGCAAGTCCAAGGATATGGACATGAGGGCAACCTATAACTGGGGCATCATAGATATGTAGAGGAATGTTATGGGATCGAATAGTATAGAATAGAATGGAATGTACTGGATAGTGTAGGAACTGTGATATGGATATCCAGGACATGTATATTATGAGACATATCTCTTGGCAGTAGGAGGAAGAATAAGTCATCTAAATACAAGCGTTCTTCAGTGAGCACAAGTCTTTTCGATATCTACATTGGTGTTCTACGAACACATGTAGCATCCTTCCAAGGTAGAGATTCAACCTGTATGTGCTCATAATCTTAACACAAATATATTTAATAATTTAGTCCACTTTATAGGGTCTACACGCTTCCTTGCACATCAAACGTGATATCGTTCTACAACATCTATTTTTTAAAGCAGCCATCTAACGTCCCTTGCCTCATATGAAGCTCTGCCTGCTGCTAGAGGCTTCTTTCCATGCGCATGAGTAGTATGAGCTCCTTGAAGCTGAGCAGGCACTTGAGGCTATTTAGTGTTTGATTAATCGTAATAGGCGGCTCAGCTGCCTCCTCAGACTTGAGCTCCTTGTGCTCCTCGTGCTCCTCCTGCCGTGGCATGATATGTGCAGCAATGATATCCATAAGCGTGATCTCATCCTCCTCCGCCTCAATATTCTCGTCGTCTGAGTTCAGGGACTACGAGAGGCTCATGGCGTCATAGATCAGGCTTGCTACAGCTACAAACACCGACTCAATAGCAACAGGAAGATCAACTGGTATTAAGATCTGTAGCCGGATAACAGCTTAGTACTGGAAACAGGCATGTATAAAGTTGTTTAAGACCTCAAATCTCCATGCGCCGACTGACCAACTAATAGCCTCGTAAACACTCATTTTCGTAAAAGGATTGACGTCCTGATCGAAGCACTTGTTGTAATTTGTTTGCTAGACCTGGCCGTGTAGCTTATCACTGTGTGATAGGCTTTGCCCGGATTGGGACTGGTCACTAGGACCAATACGTCTCCGAGCTAAGGTAGTGGCAGGGCAACGCTCCTGGATAGACGAAAGGGCGCTAAGGGGGTACGCACCAGTTGGGGAGTATGATACAGGAGAAGAGTTGTGCCGGGAGAAAGGATGATTCTCAGGGGCCAAGGAAGAGAGTTAAGACTAGTCTACACAGAGCATATAAGGGATGGGAGAGTACGTGGTAGATGGTCTTCCCAAGGAACAAGTTATTAATTCCTAGTGAGTTATTGTCTTTCAAGTACATCTGAATTCATTAAACCCTTACACACTGTTAGAGAGTGTATTCTAGAATGCAGTGGTGGCTCGTTACAGATGCGATTGCGACAATACAATTGAGGGTTGTATGAAAGTTTGGCCCTTCTATGGGTCTCAATTGTGTGGAGGTTGATTCAATTATTGATTCAATTACTCTTTATTTCCATCTGCAGAGAATGTGTTACAGCTCTGCGTGTACCCGTTATCGCTTAGATTTGGCTAGTGGCCTGTCCCCTCCTTTACTTGCTCCCGTGTTCCATCACATGAGATGTAATAACTACTCACCACAAAGTCCGCAGATTGAACAGCGTTAGATCACAACAGCACTTCAGCTGGTACTCTAGCCAGTGTTTGCGATAGTATTGATTGTAGTTCTGGATGATAGCCTAGTCAAGCGATTGATAGATGCTCATAGAGTTTTTAGGCAGGTAATGCACTCGAATATTTGGAGGCGTGGCGGTAGTATTGACAGCTGCGAAGTGAGCCGAAAATTTGTCCATTCGAAGCAGCGCTCGTCAGCTTGTTCCTACGTGCTGATAGAAGGCAGTCAGCCGCTTCCTCATTATAACTGTTGTGATGAAGGCCTTCTTGTTTTATTTCCATGCCATGCCCGATTTTTACGGTTTGACCGTTATTTGAGCCGAGGCGGATACCTAAGCCTAATATTGAGAATTCTTACGATAAGATTGTATTGGGGGGAGATGGAGATTATCGAAACAGCAAAACTAATCAGGAGGCTGAAGCGTTATTACAACTTAGTGACACCTGGAAATACGTGGCTGGGTATGAAGTATTGTGCCCAAGGACAGATCACTAGTCTGTATATTCACGAGAATGACCAACTGTTATAAATACCTGTTAGAAGTAGCTAGAGTTCTCTTTTCTCCTCATGTAGTTTATTAAATCGATTAATCTATCACCAACTCGGTTTCCGTCACACTGATAGCCCTCAGAGGAAAACTGTTATTGCCTGTCGCGTTTGTACAGACGACAATTAATATACGACTCTTATCTTGTTTGATTCCAGGAGCAGTGTTTATGCCGAGCCCAGCACTAATAGATCGTCGCCAAAAAAGACCTATCTCATCCATGTTATAGATACCCTCCTCGTCGTAAAGACTGTGGATAGTCTGGACAGCCTTCATCTCTTCAATTGCGAGAGTAGTCACGCTTCATGCTTTACAATGGCGCTCTCTATTTGAGATGCCGTGACGCACTTTGAATTTTTGTAGCCACCCAACGGAAAATTCAGGTGTGGCCTGGTTTTGCTACTTTTAAATTTGAGGCCAGATATCACCAGTAACCAGCACGCCTTTGGCTCCAATGATTTATTGCCACTGGAAGAGGATCTGCTCAAGTATAGGCCATTGTGATGCGCGTATGCGTTGGGATGTCGTTGGAAGAGACGTTGGCGCGTCAAGGTATTGTAAACGATCGCTAAGAGACACTGACAATGTTGCTTGCCGAAGCTGACGATGATATTGATTATCGAACCAGGCAATACCGTCTTTCTGAGAGGGACATGCACGTTGATCAAAATACCACTTTTGTAAGGTAGCCCTCTCGTGCTTCGTAATTCCTTCTCCTATCTTTTTTTTTCTTCATTCATTTTTTTTTGATTTCATTTATCCTGATTTGGCGCCCTATGGGCCCATGTAGATGTCTAAAATCTATAATATTTACCCGGCAGGAAACCTTAATGGTGAAAACTCCCTACACCTTTCTATTTGTTGTCTTTAGTTCTCACATATTTTCTTCAGGAAGCGCAGTTACACTATAGTGCCATCCATGTAGACCAACCAGATCATCTCTATTCTCCCCAAGCATTATTTGACCTTTTCCTTTCCCTCAGCATCATTTCGACTGCATTTGTCATGCAGAATTGTTCTATCCAACCATGATTAAGAATACATCGTGTGATTCTTTTCATATTGCCTGGATTGTCTATTATTGCTTCAAAGGATCGATTTCGGGCTTGTCTCTAGATTTCTCCTCTACCAATTGACAACTTAGAGCAGGGCATGATCATGCGCTTGGGATTTCGTGATTAGTAGCCACACGGACAAATTAGGTGATAAGCTCCTGGTACTTTTCTTCTGTATAAATAAGAATTGAGCCCGATATGCTCGCTTCGAGTTTGGATTCCTAAGCTACTTTGGGCCCTCGTCAGGTTTTTGTGGGGAGAAAATGGTGACTCCCGGATGCTTATTTTAGTACGTTCAGAATGGCGGCATTGGTAGAACTCTGCTGCTGCCCAAGTTTTAGGATCTTAATTTATATTGTATATAGATATATAACTATGACAATTAATATCCAATTCACGACAAAATATATTTTCTGCCTTTTATAACTCCTGGCACTCGATCTCTTCTTTTAATAGGTCGTCTCATCTTTGCTCGGGTAATTGTGATGGTCTTAAAGTGGCGTTTTATTTCAAAATGTCCTCAGAGTTGGATACTGTCACGAAATGTATAAAGGGAATATCAGGATCTGGATGGGTCGGGATTAATAACTGTGTTGTGCGATAAGGAGAGTAAATCTAACTATGTACATGGAAGTCTCTAAGTCCCAAGTTCGCTAAGCCATTGCTAGGACTTAGTCCCGTGACAGATACAAAGGAAATCTTAGAGTGAAGAGCCGAGATACAGCTGAAAAGAGACCATTTTATTTAGAAGAATCGGTGCTCGCTTCCTTCTTTCCTTTCATCCTTAAAATAGGTCATCAAGTCTCCTCCAATTTACTCGCGCGTCTCCGTCTATTTTAATCATCGTAAGGTGATTTATAAGATAATTCATAATTTTTGCTCAGATAACTCACGACTAATAGTCGCATCGTCATGTCTATAGTCTTAGTCGCCATTGAAGAATAAATTCACATGAGTTGGATCCAGACTTATACCAGGCCTAATGAATTGTATGGTGAAGCGCATGACATATTTAGAATCAAACTAGAAAACAGTAATTTATGCCTTGATTATTAGGAAAAAGACTAAATATAATCAGGTTTCAGCCAATGACAGGGCTTACCTCATGTGACAGGTATTTGATATAACGATTAGTGTGACGAAACCAAGCTGGTTGTAGTGTACTTTTAGAAAGATTAAACTATATGAAGAGAGAAGTATCACAACTACGGGCAATGACTATTTGTACATCCTTCTAGCTCATCCAATACGTACTCTGTTGGTGAGAATGACATATTGCTCTGCCACTGCCCGTCGTCATCTCTGCCATCTAGCTGACTCTCTCACTTGGCAATTCTACTTCGCCGTCTCACATTCCTTCCTAGCTTTAATGTAATGTGGCCAAGTGAAACTTAGTCGCTTGATACAAGATAATATGTAACACTCTCCCGAATACGCCCCCAAACTCCGCTCAGGTCTCCGCCTAAGCTGGACCACGGTCAAACCGTAACAATTAGATTAGATTTTGTAAGCAGACTTGTGCTTGCATAAGTCTGGATCCAGTCCAAAAGCGAAAGCACGATCTGCGTGCAGGCATGTCAGACTAGTAATGATGATCAGGGGCATCAATAGGGTAGAACTAGATATTATAGTGCTATGATGGACTTGTAGCACGGAGACAATTAATCAATTCATTCTTGTATTCGCTTTTACCTTTTGACGATTCACGTGACATTTGCACGAAGACCTCCCTAAGTTTTACAGATTTGAATTAAAGTCCTGAGCCAATGACTATTGAGGACTCCTAGAATCTATAAATAAGATACTAGCTACATTTTATAAGTTCCAATTGTTTAACTTTGAATTTCGCTCTCATGGACAGTGAGGGACAAGCCCTATCGATATAACGATACAAGGGCGACAGAGAAATCGGTCTATCAAGTTTCGCTAATTTGTGACCTTTACTGTCTCAATACAATCCGTTCGCAAAGAAGACATCCTTATAGCGAGTCCACACTGTACACAAATAAGCAATTACTCGCTAAATTTACAAGTTGTAATCCTTATATTTTGATTGGTGCCCATTACCAACGTCTTCGTGGCTAAGTTGGTTAGAGCGTTGGTCTCATATCGTACTCGATGATGAAGGTGTATGGCACTCGATATCCAAAGGTCGCGAGTTCGAGTCTCGCCGAGGACATAAGTTTTGGAACGTAATGCGAAAAAATGAACTCTCACTTTCGACAATCTATGAATTGCTGAAAATATAGAGCCCGCAGCTCGAATCCCCACCAGGATCAATTAGCGTACAATAGTGCCCGGGTCACGCAGCAATCCGTGGAACTGTAATTGCAGAGGCCCTTACTAAATAGGCCTGTAAGACTCAGTCTCAATATCTTCCAACATCAATTGTATGAGATTAGAGGATTGCAAAGGCGCGCTACCGGTAACATACTGATAAAAACTGGCATGCAAATGCTTCCGCGGGGCACAAAAAGTTTCTTGATAGTTCTAACGCTACGGTATCCCCAGCACTTGCCTGCCTCGACCGATGTACCCTCTGTCTACTTAATGCAGCCCGCACAGGTGACAATGACTTTGCAAACTAACATGTTCTTATGGAGAAGAAAAGCTTACATAACACTTCTTTTTCTGCCAGCTAGGCCAGCACCGGGCCCGTCTCGGTGGATCCCTCCTCCGTCCTACAGGTGTCTGTTGGATTTTCAGTTCGAACGATGGCGCATTTACCCTCGGGAAGTAGGTGGATAAAAATCTACTCAAGACAAAATCCAGCAAAGCCACCAAATAGCACAGTTGAAACTTCAATTGTTCAGGTAATCCATAGCAGTCTCCTCCCACCTTGTCTTGGACTATCCCAGTCTACAAGGACTTCTCCCCTCGAGCTCCAGCATCTTCAAGGGACCCAAAGAAATTTTTGCTAGGAGCCTGAGAAAGGGCTGTACGTGTAGCAGAGTGGCTTTCCATTCTTTCCATTTCTAGGTTTTACACAAGGACCTGTCCTAGAAGTCCCAGAGAAGAAATAAATAGGTCTTGAACTCTGCCTCAACCTTGAGGCTTGCGTCGTGGATGGACGGTTTGGGATTTCTGAATGGATCTAACAGTGGTATCGCGAGAATGAGTGTATTATAGCAAAGGAGTGAAGAGGCACGGCGACTAGCTGTAAAGGCGCAGCTGCTACGCTACACGCTATGGTGTAATTAGAAAATTGCCCAGCTCTCCTAGTGGGAAGTAGCAAGGGCGAAGCCACTAGGGCAGTAAGTGTCAAGGGCTCGGGCGCGTGGTGGTCGAGGCTGAGGAGGAGTTTGCGCTGCTGCGTATATACAGCGGGTCTCTGGACGGTCTGGCTTAGTATGATTCAACACAAAGGAAAGGTTTGAGGTGGTCCGGTCATTCAGGTGGGACGAGGTATATCCGTACTTCACGGTAGTTAACCTGATCCGGCCTAGCCCCACTCGTACTCAAGCTCCAGTAGGAGTGCAATGGTAGTCACATAGTCTAGCACGTTAACGAACAAAACAAAACCAGGACAGAAAGCGCTGGCGTTCATGCCTCTAGTTAGTTTAGTGGGTAGCAAGGACTAAAGCCAAGGCTTCGCCGCCTGACGGACGAAAAATATAAAACAATCAAACAACAAGGACTCCTTCCTTCGTAAATCACGTAGATATGTGTTCTCCTCTAGATAAAGCTAGAGTGAACCGGTGGAAGAGCTCGCTTCTCTGTAGCATACATGTACAGTTGAGTTAAAAAAAGAATACATGTACAGTAAGGCGCTAGATAGTATGGTCTTGGCTCCTCATGGCGCCAGCAATGATATCTCAATACACGTGCTATTGTCGGGATATTGCGAAAGTATAGTCGCGAGAGTAAGATAATGCAGATGGTAATATCCGATATGTGGAGAATATATGGATATAGTGTGTGTTTGTTTATTGTGCTACTTGAGTCTATGACTATGTAGCACGTTGGGCTCCTCTCTGACCCAGGCCACACCTTGTACAGTGCTCCTTGCCTCTTTTGTTTCTTGAAAGATGATTGATATATTCCCATTGATGAATAGCCATTCAGCTCAGTATTTACCCGTGGAATTCGGCCACCTTTTCCACGGAACCTTCTACCCCCCAAAAAAATTGGTAGCATTGGAGACTGCGTGCGCGGGAAAAAGTCTCAAAAAACCTGCAGCCCCAGTCAGGTGAGGACTAGACACCGGGACCACATGAGGTGCGCATATTCATCATATCTCCCATCTTTGTAACAGTCGAGGGCGACTTGATCCAATCCACCATCTCCGTATCGAGCACTGGGTACGCCTCGGAAACTCATCGGATAGCTTTTCCTCCATGATCAAGGGTTGGTGATGAGAAGGGTTTCGACCCTACCATCTGATCTGATCGTGGTTAGCTTCATGATAGTGGTGATAGGGGAATGTGTTGAGAGATTAAGATGATACGGACGGCGAAAGCGATTGGGAATCCTCGTCGGAGTGAGGACTTTGTTACTCAATCTCGGCTCTGCAGACTCTACAGTGAGAGCCGGAGGTTCGTAATGGACACCACTGATAGGTGTTGAGAATAGTCTCCATATATGGATATAGTACTACGGGTGTGGACACCTTTAACTTGACCAACTAGCTGACTAAGCAGAATTTCCTGACAGCTGTATGCAGTCACAAGGCCAAGAGATCCAAGCAAAAGAAAAAAAGCACCCAATGAGCTATCACGGCACAAGTGGGATGAGGTCCCCTACCGATAGTGCATCCTCTAGAACTCTGTACTGCGATGGAAAGTGAAGAGCGCCAATGAAAGGCCAATTTATAATCTGCTCGACTGCCATGGAGCAACGAACACGAGGGCTTTCTTGAACCGAAAGTCAATTTAAGAGCGGCAATGGCCCCGTGCAAGGACTGTCAAGCCTAGGCTAGCTAGCACAGATAATGACACCAAGGGAATCTTCGAGAAGGATCTCGATATACACGGAGCCTAGAAGAGTCTCAATGAAGCTTCTGGAAGCATACTGGATGTTCGTGAGGATGACAGGTGTACCGAGAGTCTTTTAGGAAGTAGTCGAAGCGTCCAAACCATTGTGAACCCAGAGGAAATCTTTTCAAAAGGGAATATGTTAGACTGTGGATAATCGTAGTCTCTTGCTGCAGGATTCCTCTCCCTCCCGGGGGACGATAATGAATTCACGGATGAAAGCGTGACAAATCTCTTTCAATCTCTAATTTCCCAACTTGATGATTCTTGAGAATACCAGATGTTTCCGTGTCGAGTAGAGGCCAGCTCTTTTTATTTTATTGTCCTATCTGAGTCTATGGCTATGTAAGACATGCAGGTCCTCTCTGCCTACAGGCCAAGGATACCTAGATCAGGGGCCAGCTCTTGAAAATGCTCACTCACAGGCCACTGGATACTAGCTTTACTCACTCCCCTTTCCAGCCTCATTCAGCCAGAGCTGCGACTGAATATGGCGAGGGGAAGCCTTTTGTCGGAATGTAGCGAAGGCGTGAGGCCTGAAGCAGAATTAGAGGAGAGGTTGGATGGACTGCGAAGGATGACTAAAGGCTTGAACTATGGGTAATTGGTATGTCAAGAGAAATAAAAGGCTTGAGTTAATACGAGTGGTAGCTATTGGTACTAAGGGGTTTGTTTTGTTCATTAACGGGCTAGATATATATTATTCATTTTTCCTGATTTGGCGCCTTGAGGCCCATGCAGGTATTTTTCGGTAGGTATGTACTTTAAGTAGGGTGACTCAATTTGACATTTAGAACACTCACACTCAGATTTCATCTGCAGATACCACTCGAGGTTAACCCTTACGGCGTTTAACCTCTTACGTGCATACCCACCACAGGGAAAAGCGTGAAAAACCTGTGGCTATCCGAGTGTGCTTTCATCATCCCATAAGTACAATGCCACCGCGAGAGAGAGTGGTATGTGGGTCCGACTGGATTCGAACCAGCTTTCTCCTGTCTCGAACGGGGTAGGTGTTCAAGCTACCCAGTATCTACTTGGGAGAACGGCCCGGATGGCGTACCACTGCACCATCCAACCAAACGGGCTAGGTATACTAACTACTGTTGCACTCCTACTGGAGCTTAAGCACGGGTAGGGCCGGGCCGGATCAGGTTAACTACCATTAAGTACATCTACCTCGTCTCATCTAAATGACCGGACCACCTCAGACTTCACAAATGTGGTGAATCATGTCGAGCCCAACCATCCAGAGAACCCCCTTTTGACGCGCCGAAGCGCAAATTCCTCCTCAGCCTCGGCCATCACGCGCTCGAGCCCTTGATGGGTACAAAGGGCGACGAGAGATGATAGGAAAGTGTCTATTTTGACGGAAAACTAAGCGTGAAGAGCTATGTAGTAAGAGACGAAGTCATCCTACACCTACATGCCTTGCTTGGACTATTTCATCACCAAAACGAACGGTAGAAAGGCTGTGCCGAGCTGGAATGACGTAGCGATAGGAATGAGGTAGCTCTGGCTATAAGAGAGGTTTAGTTCGGCTTGGAACTTGCCACATTTCTTACGGCCATTGGCATTCCTTGCAACTGTAAAAAACTTCCGGCTATACTGTAATCTAATCTCTTTTTGCTATTGAGCGATTCTCTCATGCATGTTCGGGATAGTATGAAATTCGGGGCATATCCATCGCAAGATAAGCTTGCATTTACTTTGCGCCAGATGAGATGGCATTGGTGGCGCAGGGTCAGCACTCTCTCATTCTCCGCCCAATGGCTGGGTGGTCAGCTGTGCCGATAATTCCCCACCGTGATAATTGGTGTTTGCAAGCTACTTTACTTCTAGGCTATGTGCGCATAAATTCTCGATCTACATGTAACTTGGATCTCTTATGGAAGCGATTTTCTTTGAGCCATACTCTCTGCTATTCTTACTCTGAAATCGCAACATTCTCCCGGTAGAAGCGCATCCGAATCCAAAGATGGTCCAGCACGCCGGGCGATGAGCTAAACTCCCTATTGAACACACAATACGATGGACGAGTAGGAGGATAAAGCTGCGCGCAAACGGGAGAAAGACTCCGAATAATTGGAACAGGAATAGAGATATCGCCAGATATACCAGAACTTGCGGAAGGGAAAAGGACAAGGTGAGGCAGAAGAAGCAGGAAAGATAGCCGCATTTTAGGACTAGAAGAATTCATGGAAAAGCCAGAATGAGAATGAGCGCCTTGGCCGACTAGCACCGGCCGATGCAGAAGGTTGAAAAGCTGTAAAAATTCTCACCAATCAATCAATAGACAGTACAAAAATGATCTTCAGAGGTACACGGTTAAATATCCACCGTAACCCAACTAGGGCCCAAAGCAGTGTCTCCATCCAGCCTAGAAGCGAGCATATCCGGCTCGATTCTTAGCTGTACAGAAGGAAAGTACCCGGAGTAGAAAAGGCCAGCTGTCAATGTGCATATCCGTCACAAAACCTCAAGCACATAGTGTGGGCGGGTCCACAGTGGGCAGGTGGAAGAGGCGACTTTCTCCGACAAGCTAAAGACAGGTCACTTGAAGCAATGATGAACAGCCCAGAAGAGACGGCTAGAATCACACAGTGGATACTAAGAAAATAATGGATAGAGCTATTTCGACTCGCAGGGGAAGTCGAGGTAGCAATGTCGGGTAAAATAAATCGGTCTGGAAGCGGAGCGAATACAATCCATACTGGCTGAATAGTATAAACTGCACTTCCTGAAGGTAAAGTGATGGAAAAATACTCTGTACGATATTATATGGATATGTGTGATGAAGTAAAGAAGACTTGATATTTTACAACCATGGGAACATTGGACTTATACATCTTAGGGGAGGATTTCCGCTAGTCTCATGTGCCTGTCAAACCTAGTGATGACCAGCCACCTCTCATCTACCATGATGAGCCAAGGTACACTTTAGTACGTAATTATCCAAACGTATATTCGACAGTAGGCGCGATTAGCGCACTCGGGACATGTGTAGAGGGAGTTGATCTTGTCGAGAACCTGAGACGAAATAGATAATGGTTGAGTCCTAAATTCGAGAGTCAGAATTATCAACAGTGAGCCAGTTATTGTCTGTAGCCTGCGCTGTCTAACATAGGCTTAGCATGTAACAAGGCGGAGCCGAGGAGGGCAAGACTGAACACCTGTACGCGGTATCCTCTAAGAACCTGGGAGTG